AGAGAGAGAGGGAGAAGGAGGCTCTCCCCTCAGCAGGGACCCTGGGATCATGACCTGAGCCGAAGGCAGCTGCTTAACCAACTGAGCCACCCAGGCGCCCCTACCCTTTAAGACTTTTGATCCATATCGCCAGTTTGGCTTTCCAGGAAGTTGCTACCAATTTATATTCAGAAGAATATTCAGAATATTGAGGGTGCTTCCTTCCCTGAAACTTCTCGAATAGTGGCAATCATTAAGTTCCTTTTTTTTTCCCTCCAAATCTGATACAGAGTAACAATTTTTACTCTCGTTTTGAAGTTTCTTTGCTTATGGAGGTTGAATATTTTTCATGTTTATTAGCCGCCTTGGATGAGTTGCCTAATCATATCCTTTGTTCATTTTTGTCTTCTTTATTCATAAAGGTTTATTATATAGAACTAACAGCCTGTTTTCTGTCAGATATGCTACAAATGCTTTCTCCTGCTTTTCTCTTTAGTATTTTTTAGTTTTTTTAAACTGCAGAAAATTAAATTTTTTGTTACTGAAATGTATATATTAGTATCTCAGTAGAGAAATCCTTTGTCTCTTGGCCTTATCTACTTCAATTTAGAAACACTGGGCAGTGTAATAAATGTGGAGATAGAACTCTTATCGTTGAACCCCAAAGCAGCCATAATGTTCTGGTGAACTAATACCGTGTACTTCTTGTGTAGACTTCTGCCAGAGCCTGCAATTTCTTCAGTAATGTCTGGGGCAACCTAAAGGGTTTAGAAAACTGGCTCTACAAGAGTCAGCAACAAGAGGTTCCTGAAAAACCAACTTACCAAAAGTGTAACAGCCATTCTTCTATCAGTTCTTACGCTATTGAAATTGAAAAGGCTGGAGACCTGGACCTTCTTGATCAAGATGAGATGGACCTTTCTGATTGGCTGGTGACTGCTCAGGAATCCCAGAAGCTGGAGAAGCCTGGGAAGGGTAGCTGTGAAACCAGTGAGAAGTGGAAGCTCCTGTTGCAGGTGTTCCAGGAGCCCTATAGTGTGAATGATTGGCTTGTCAAGCCCGATTCCTGTACCAATTGTCGGGGCAACCAGCCCAAGGGTGTGGAGATTGAAAACCTGGGCAATCTGAAGTGCCTGAATGACCACTTAGAGGCCAAGAAACCCTTGTCCACTCCCAGCCTGATGACTGAGGATTGGCTTGTCCAGAATCCTCAGGACCCATATAAAGTAGAGGAAGTATGCAAAGCCAACGAGCCCTGTACAAGCTTTGCAGAGTGTGTGTGTGATGAGAACTGTGAGAAGGAAGCTCTGTGTAAATGGCTTCTGAAGAAAGAAGGAAAAGACAAAAATGGTATGCCTGTGGAACCAAATCCTGAGCCTGAGAAGTGTATAGATTCCCTGAGTGTGTGGCTCTGTCCTTCCAGAAAAGAGGCAACGCAACAAGCTAAGATGTCAAAGGCAGTGGCTCCTTCTAGAATTGCCGATTCCTTCCAAGTCATAAGGAACAGTCCTTTGTCAGAGTGGCTCATCACACCCTCATACAAAGAAGGTTGTCTCAAAGAAGTGCCGAGTACTGAAGACAGAGCTGGCAAGCAAAAGCTTATGAACCCCGCGGCCACTTCCTGGTGTCCCTTTAACACAGCTGACTGGGTCTTGCCAGGAAAGAAAATGGGAAACCTCAGCCACTTATCCTCAGGAGAGGACAAGTGGCTACTTCGAAAGAAGGCCAAGGTGAGCACAGACATCAAAGTAACACCATTTGAACTAAGTAGATTTATACTTTCTTAATCTCAGATCTTGCAAATGGGCCAGATCCTTAAATGTGTTAAATGTTGCTTGGCCTATTAATTTTGATGGAAGATTTGGGATGCAGACTGAAATTTCTGTACATTTTCCAGGCCCCCGGCCCCCATCCTGTAGGAAAGAAAAAAACAAAACAAAAAACCCCAGAGTGTTTTATTGGCTGTTTATGGAAAAGATTGAACTGTTGTACCTTTGCTCTTGCTTATGAGAGAGAATGGCCAATAATATTCCTTATGGACACTAGACTATTGGGAAGACGAGTTAAGTTGGTCCCTTGCTTCCCAGTTGTCATGGAGCAACCCACCCTTGTTGTCTTCTTGCAGGAAGTATTACTGAACTCACCGCTACAGGAGGAACGTAACTTTCGCCAAGACCGTTACGGCCTCCCAGCAGTTTGTGACCTCTTTGCCTGTATGCAGCTTCAAGTTGACAAAGAAAAGTGGTTGTATCGAACGCCTCTGCAGGTGCGTGCAGGCCACTAGCCTAGCAAAATCAGATTTTAGCTGTTTGTGTTTCGTCTTCAGTATGAATTCACACTTTGCCCACCAACCTGTGTTCCTGTTAATGGTGTGTGTGCTAGGCAAGTGAGCATGGCTGGGGCATCATAACCGTTTCAGGTATTTCACTTGAACTTACTTTATGAAATAACTAGGACATACTTGAAAGTGACCTTTCAAGATGATTTAGATGTCGGGGGAATTGTCAGAGCCTGTGTGGATTTTAGTAGCTTATTGAGAAATGAGTCAGAGCTCTGAGGGGGTGGGGGGAGAGATTTGCTTTTATCCTATAGTGAAGTGACACTAATCTTTGGGCTTTTCTTCATAGATGTGAAGGAATGGAACACACGAGTCAAGCAACTTTTCTGCAAATAACCACACCTCCATGGGCCGAGGGACTGTGCGGCTTGCCAAATCATAGTGTTTCTCCAGTCAGCTTAGTTCCTTTTCCTACCTAATTTTGAGCTAGTGAAGAGAAATAAGTCATCAAATTATGAGTTACAATGTAAAAGAAAAAGGCTCTTTGTTGATGCTGAGGTGATTCAGTTCCTTCTTACAGAAGTATTAACTCAGCCCTACACTAGAAACACAGCATCTTGGTGGATAGGTCTTTTTCATAAGCCTCTACAGCTCCTTAGATTGGATTATTACTAGAAGTACATTAAAACACTGTAGTTTTAAAAATGAAATAGTTCTATAATCAAGGTGTGATGTATTCAAAAGCTAGTACGCTTCCCTAACCTTTTGATTGTCCTCCTTTAGATGCTTCCCTTGCTGTGGGTTTTCTTCCATTGGTGGTGGAAATGATTCTTCTGTTTAATATATAGTATATTTCACACAAATAGTTAACTTTGCCAATATATATTTTTTCCTTACCAAAATGTGTATTAACAATCTTGGCAATTTCGGACATTAATTACATTTGAACCTGCATGTCAGATTCTACGTCATTTTTCTCCTTTTGAAAGAGATTCAGCTACTGCAAATTTTGTTTTTCCCTTTTCTAAATGTTGTTATTAAAATATCTAGTGAGCTTTTAGAGGAGCTCCATATTGCTTCAAGACTATGTTCAAGGTAGTCCTAGCTGCTTTCAAAATATTCTGAACTACAGGTCAAAGAGCCCTAGTGCTGACTCATCAATCAAAGAGCAAAAGGCAAGACGTGTTGGAAACGTAGTACTTGAACTCTTTGCTATCTTAAGGGTTATTGGTGCATCCTGTGTAAAGGGAAGCTGAGCTTGACACCTGGTGCTTTTAACTAGGGTATATTAAATGTCCTCTCACTGCAAGCATAGCATACCTATACCTCTGAAAGTAGAATGCAGTGACATTTTAGTGAACAGGCCGTTTTGAACACTTGTGCCTTGGGGTGTTTACTGAAGCTTTATGAAAACTTGATGTTTTCTCCGTATCCTTAAAAGTCACGTCCATGCTTTAAAAGGTTTCTCTGTAGGAAATGCGATTTATAATGTTTTTAAATTCTCTAAGGTAAGATACCGTAGCTGCTTTCTAGGCTTTTAAACTATTAAGCCACTCAGCTTGCCTATATGTTATTGTTCATACTTTTCAAGTTTGTGATATGGTCATCTAAAAACCCTTTTGTGCAAACTTCACAGTCCCACAGTCCTTGCCATACAGTTTCATTAGACTTCTTGACCACAGCTGAAAAGAGCCTCTTAATTTTTTGGCTCCCCGCCGCCGCCCCAATACCACTTAGAACTTTAATAAAGGTGGCAGGTAAAAACTTAAGGAGCCTTTTCATTATCTTAGGTTGCAGGAAAACTTTGTAGTTTTTGAGGTTTAAGGATGTATTCCTAACTTTACACTCACCACCATGCTAATGAGTATGTAAAACATTCTTCTGCATTGATGCATTTTGTACCCACTCCATTAAAAGCATTAACAGCCATAGTTGTTGTGTGTATTTGTAAAACTACCTTGTCACAAAATGTTCTACCACGTTAATCTTTGGGTAGAAGTACAGCTGAGAAACAACTTGAACATAAATTGTTTTTATATTCACTTAAATATCAGTATATTTTATGAATCTTAAATTAGTAAAGAGTATACTAACTTCATTTTGAGTCTGCCTGCAGACTTCAGATCTGCTCTTTTAATTTTTAACCTCTCTATGAACTATATTAAACTCATTTTTTTTTTTAAAAAAACAGAGGCCTTCAGCTAAGGTTCAGTGCTTTCCTGTCAGATTCCTTACTAGGTGCATGCCAAAGCCCTATTTTCCTCTTTCCCTTCATAATAACCACCCGTTGTTTAGTATTTATTACGTGTATGTGTAACGTACAGCGCAACTTAACTTCATTTCATAGGTGAGAAAACAAGCTCAGAAGTTAAATAACTTGCCCTTACCTTCTTTAGCTTTCCCAAGACTTCCTTAAACCCTTGTAGCTCGTTTCTTTCCTCTAATTAGTTTCTAATTATCCTCCATAAGGAGGTGAGTTAATGAGTAGAGAGTTAAGCATGATCGTTGGACAGAGTATTCTAACACAGTACTCTAATGGCATAATGGTTAATCTCTAGTATCTTGAGGTTGTTTAGTGTCAACTCTATTGAAGAAAAATTGTAACCTGGCTGTTAGTGGTGCCAAGTAGCCCTTCATTTCAGCACAACCAAGAAAACATGTTGGCCCAGTTGGGGCAGACAAAAATGCTAAGAGTAACTTTCACTTTATCCCCAGAAAAATGCTTTTAAATGGAGACGCCCGCTATGTTTACACTTTGGTTCTATTTTCACCTTTTTATTTGGGAATACAAGGCAATGTTACAGTTTCAGATCATTAAATAAACAAATGTGTTGATACCGTATTGACAACAATCATGACCTGAATTCTGTGAGTAAGTAGTTTTCCAGTTCAGGGGGTAGAGGAGAACCACATTACTCAGCCACCAGAGTGTTCTGGCTTCAACTCGGGCTAGAAGGAATGCCAGTCCTGGTCAACCATCCAGGATCTTCACCACAGCAAACTGGAATCTCCACAATTTTTCAAACTAACTGTAGGAAGGAGGAGTAATTCCAGAGTGACCTACAAATTGATGTGGACGACTATTAAAGTGTCCTCCACTCCTAAGGTGGCAAAATCCTCAGAGTGACTGTTGGAGTAAGGAGCCTTTCATGTGCTCCCAGTTATTATATAGTGCATAGAGGCTGGTAAGCGTCAGTCCTGCTAGACCACCTCGTGCTACCCCTCGAAGGCCACCTGGAAAAGAGAAGGGGGAGAAAACAGCCTTGTATTGCATAGTGTCCTGGCATCAATGGATTCAGTAATGTTATCATGAAGTTGAGACACACAATTCATGTTTATAAATATTCCACCTCAAACAGGAGAATAACAGTCCTAAAAGTAATATAAGAAACCAAGACCGGTTCAAGACAGAAATTCCCTCACATCACTTGTTTAAGAATACGGTATATGTATTACTCACAACCTTTTCCCCTCACTTTTAATTTCATAATTTACAGCTAAGATCATGAGCATTAATAATTTGATTTTTCTCAATCTCATTTGTTCCTATAACACTCCAGACAAGATCTGATGCATATTATTGAAGTCCCAAACAGATCAATAATTTCCTGCTAGTCCTAGAACCTCACAGGCACTGACAACTGATTTAAAGCTATAATATAAACAACGTGACACCCTCTTTGGAAACAATATTGAACTTTGGACTCTGGACAGGTCCTCTATTAACTCTGAAGACTCAAGAAGTAGTGGTGATAAGATGGCTATATCAGGCTTTGAGTCAGGTGCCGACAAAGGACCACACGCCCCCACCACTGCCACTCCTACAGTGACATACCAGACGATCTTCTACAACTCCTGAGCAAGGAGGCACTTAGCATCATCATACTCACTGAAAAGAAGGATTAGACTTTGAACTATTTTTGCTTAACAAAATAGTTTTTCATGTGAAAAAAAATTAGCAATATGTATTTCACGTGAAATGTAAAAACAAAAATGATATATTTCACTTGAAATGTAAAAACAAAAATGTTTTAATCAGTTGCCTGAAAACCATCCCTGAGTCTAACCAGAGGACTAGGGGGTAACCAAAGAAGCTTTTAAGAAATAACTTGATGTTCTCTTACAGTTTCACAAACAAGTAGATACCATAAACGTCAGGTAGCCTACACTGTACCTATGGAGTATTCATTCCAAGTCATGTGTTAGGAAGGCAAAGGTTGAATGGAGCTGTGGTCCAGTGATGACCTTACTAGAGGCCCTCTGGCTATGAGCCAGTAAACTCTGTGAAATTCAGTGACACTGCCAAGTTAGAACACTTGAGACTAACCACTTCTGCAATGAACGTCCTGCCAGATGGCTTCAGCTGATAGATCAAAGGGCCGCCCCCTCCAGGAGCCTCTCTGGTCTGAAGATGGCTGATAGCTGACCTGCGTAGGTTTCCACCTTGAAGTGCCCTAATTATCTCTCTCAGACAGACTGAAACAAACTGCAGGCATCATCTATAAGCAGCTGTCAAACAGGGGGGAGGGACATCAGAAACACAGAAATGCAATGGGAGATCCCCCCTCGAAGCCACATCTCTCTATATCCTCTTGCTCTATTTAGACTGAGTATGGCAGTTAACCTGGCAACTGTATTCAATGTGGCTGAAAAATGTACCTGCTTAACCTGCTAACTTAAAACAATCTGCCCAATTTAATAATGATCTACCTCATGTCTTTGACTAGCAAGTCAACAAAAAGTTCTAGGGACTGAAGGTGAACTATAATTAGACCAAATTACTAAAATGGAAAAAAAAAAGAACAACTATGAAGCACAGGAGAATAAATGCTACTCACACACTTTGAGTGTAATGAGGATTCTTTCAAGCAGATTACAAACATTATTCTGAGTCAACACAAAACAAAAGGTGGTCTCACTGCTATTTATCAGCAGAAAGATGATGGAGGGCAGGTAACTGAAAGCATACTAGGTTTGCAGATGTTTTCCTGGGACCAAACATGCAACTTCAGACTAACTCCCCTGGACCTTTAGTCGATATCAGATTCACAGGGCTCTGAACTCTGCCTACTGGCTTGGAAATAGCTGCAAACTGTTCCTTCCAGTTGGCCCTTTAGCTTTGAGGTTCCCAAGAACGCAGCTTCATACTCAGCCTTTTTTGAAGGACTTTCACATTAGTTCTCAGCTATCAAATAACAAGTTTCCCTGGGCAGGGGCAAGAGGGGTAACAATGAAACTGGGAACTGTAAGACTAAGATCTTTGGGACACCAGTGGTATATTAAGTGTCCCTTGAGAACCATTTATCCCCTAGAAAGCTTTCTATTTTGACCAAAATGAAACAAATTCTTCTTTGAAGGCTAGAAAAGTTATTTCCAGCAAACAGACACTAAACGTAGGCAGCGTTTGATTTACTAAGCACAGCTAATCCTGATCCAAGTGTAGCCTCTTAGCACATACCAAGCCACGTTTTAGTTTTAACTTTCCATTAATTCCAGCATTTCCCAAATGGTGGTGTTAAAAGTTTGAAAGCCTTGGCTTTAGGATTTCTGTAACCAACTTATGCCCAACTAAGCACAGGAAGTTTGATTAGCAAATATTCTTGCTTTGAACACAGTAACCAAATAAGACCAACGGTCAGTCTCTATAAAGGAAAACAAACACGAGATGTGTGTTTCAGTTTTACCTTCTATCTTTTGGTCCTTACACAACTCTTCCAGAAAGGGCAAATATGATCTCTTTTCTAAACATAGGAAAATGAGGCCCAGAATATTAAAGTACCTTGTTTGTGGGATATAGAGCTTGATAGTGCAGAGTTAACACATTGAACTGACAATTACTTTAGAGCTGGGACCAGCAAATTTTTCTTTAAGTGGTCAGAAAGTAAGTATCTTAGGCTTTCAGGGCCCAAAGGCTATTCTGTAGATATTTACACAAACACTTAAAATGTAACTACAGTCGACCCTTGAACAATGTGTGGGTCACCCCCCCTTCCCCTGCAGTCAAAAATCCACATGCAACTTCTAACTCTCCAGAAACTACTAATAGCCTACTACTGACTGGAGGCCTTACTGAAACATACAATTGATGAACACATATTTTGTACATTGTATGTATTATATATTGCATTCTTACAACAAAGCAAACTAGAGAAAAGATTACTAAGAAAATCCTAAGAGAAAGTAACAGTACTGTACTGATTTAAGAAAAATCATGTATAAGTTGACCCGTGCAGTTCAACCTCACACTGTTCAAGGGTCAATTGTATTTAAAAATATAAAACACGTTCTCAGCCTCCAGGCAGTGAACAGATAGGCATCTGGACAACAGAAGTTGTTGGCCCCCACAGCCTTACCTACACACTCACATGGCTACTGCAGAATACTATCCAAAATTTTTTGCACTATTTAACTTTAAAATTTTGTTAAATTTATTTTAAAAATTGAGGTAAAAGACACATAAAATTGACCATTTTTAACTGTACAGTTCAATAGCAGTAAGTATACTGGCATCGTGCTACCGTCACCTCCATCCATCTCCAGAGAATTTCATGTTGCAAAACTGAAACTATGTACCCATTAAACAGTTAACTCCCCACCCCCCTTCCAATATAATGCCTAATTTTTATTATGTTGATACACAGGGTCTTTGCTCACTTTATTTTATTAAAATAGTCCACATGAATAAAAGTCAAGATAGTACTAAAAGATTTTAGTGATGCACAATGTGGCACATGCACCATCTTAATCCTCATTCCTAGTTCCCAAAGGCTACTACTTTCATTCTTTGCTCTTTACCCTGGTTCTTTTTTTTTTTTAATTTATTGTTATGTTAATCCCCAATACATTCCATCATTAGTTTTTGATGTAGTGTTCCATGATTGTTTGTGCATAACACCCAGTGCTCCATGCAGAACATGCCCTCCTCAATACCCACCACCAGGCTAACCCATCCCCCAACACCCCTCCCCTCTAGAACCCTGTTTGTTTTTCAGAGTCCATCGTCTCTCATGGTTCGTCTCCCCCTCCGATTTCCCCCCCTTCATTCTTCCCCTCCTATCTTTTTTTTTCTTAACATATATTGCATTATTTGTTTCAGAGGTACAGATCTGTGATTCAACAGTCTTACACAATTCACAGCACCCACCATAGCACATACCCTCCCCAGTGTCTGTCACCCAGCCACCCCACCCCCCACTCCAGCAACCCTCAGTTTCCTGAGATTAAGAATTCCTCATATCAGTGAGGTCATATGATACATGTCTTTCTCTGACTGACTTTTGCTCAGCATAACACCCTCCAGTTCCATCCACATCGTTGCAAATGGCAAGATCTCATTCCTTTTGATGGCTGCATAATATTCCATTGTATATATCTACCACATCTTCTTTATCCATTCATCTGTCGATGGACATCTTGGCTCTTTCCACAGTTTGGCTATTGTGGACATTGCTGCTATAAACATTGGGGTGCACATACCCCTTCAGATCCCTACATTTGTATCTGGGGTAAATACCCAGTAGTGTAATTGCTGGATCGTATGGTAGCTCTATTTTCAACTTTCTGAGGACTTTCCATACTGTTTTCCAGAGTTACCCTCATGTTTCTAAAGAACACAGCTACCTTGCTATTTCTTGATTTTTCAATCTTAAATTTTATCTACTGACTTCCTACGAGGAAAACTGTGTTAAGCCTTGTAAGAATTGTATAAAATGTGCTTATGGCGGGATGTAAGTCACTTACTTTATATAGGTTATCTCATCTACAAGTCTGTGAAGTCACTTTATATAGGTTATCTCATTTACAAGTCTGTGAAGGGAAAATATAGGTTGCCTTTGTTTAACAGAAAAACTGAAATTCAGCCAAGTTCCTCTCTGCATGCAGTGGTTTAGGGATCTAGTGCTAGTCAAGTCAAACCCCGTCTGACCCCAAAGCCCTTTGTCTTTTCACCACACTAAACTGCCTCCAGGATAGATTAAAAAAAGAAAGAAAGAAAGAAATCTATCAAAAGGGGTACTAACAGTTGAGCTGCATCTTATGTATGGACTGGATTTCAAATTTATGTGTTTGGTCATATGATATATATAAGGAAGGTGTGGGAAAAGTCTGAAAACATAGGCTAGGATTTGATCATGGAAGGCTGGGATGAGAAACTGAAGTTGAATAGCAGTATGTCATCATCAAAGGTTTTGGAGAGGGAGTACTAGGATTAGAAACATACTTGAGGAAGATTAAGC